TGTCCAACCCACTTTAGCCTATATATAAAACATAGAACTTTTATTAACAAAACAAATAAAAACACACCATGCTATAGGGCAGGCTATGCCTAATATAAAATAACAAATAACTTACATAAAGTTTAAATGGGTATACAAAACTGGAAATAGGCTAAGTAAACATGTATAACATATAACCAAATAAATAAGAAACGTAGAACGTTTATTAGCAAAACGAGTAAGAAAGCTTTGAGGCATGGCATACACCTTGATGTCAAATAAAATAAATAAATGACACAAAGTTTAAATAAAGTAAAAATCAGCAAACAATGTGGAACCAATTAAATAAGAAACTAATGTTTAAAAAAACTTCTAAAATCAGATAAAAGGCAAAAGTCAACAGGCTTTTCAAAATCCAAAATATTGCCAAACAGGCGCTTTTGCATTTCGTTTCGAAACTAAATCATCCGCGATCATCTTGTCTGTCTCACCTCACTCTTCTTGTCAGTCAGCTCGACTCACTCTCCTCACTGGATAAATGAAATCTGATCTGTGATGCGACTGTCGTTCAGCACGCTGCATTGAGCAGCCGCGTTCAGTTTTTAATTGTAGTGTCTGTTCTTTTACTGAACTAAATGATTTTTATTACTATAAAAAAATCAAAACGACGGTGGGGGTCGGTGACGCGGTGGGCAAGTGACGTAACCGGTGTTGCGGCTTAACACCGGTATCACCGTCAGCACCATCTATCGCGGCAAGCCTAGTTTTTAATAGCCTAAGTGGTGTTAATAAATAATATTGTTGTACACAAAAAGTTGTTTTTTTCTTCTTAGATGGCTAAATGGCCCTTGGAATTTTAGAAAGGGGTGAATTGTTTGTCTTCATAAAATGCTATGTAGGACACTGTTCTGTAGCTCTACAACCAATAGTGAATACTAAAGCAGTTATTTCATTGAGGGTCCTTATGATTACACTGTATGTCTGATGGGCTAAATATGGTTAATATCTGAATGCAACTTTATATATAAATTCACAACAACATATATATCACTCAATCTCCTGTATATACGAAAACCTACAGTGAATATAATTAGGCTAAAGTAGATCATGTATCATTACATTGTCCATTTGATTTGAAAAATGTAAATCATTACATTGTCCATTTGAATTTTTAAATTCACTAATTTAATGTTTAATGTTAATAAATGTGTATTATTAATTTATCAAAAACACTAATTCAATTAAATTGTCTCCTGTAGGCTATGAATGTAGACCAACAGTGAATATCTACAGATATTTTAATCTGTAGTGCAGATCATTACAATGTCTATCTGATATCTTAATGTAACATTTATATTTAAAATATAATAATCAAAAAAACACTCAATTAGTCAATGTCTATGGACGGGGTGGTTATTAATGAGTAAGTTTTGAGTTTCGATTTAAAGGGATAATTCACCCAAAAATGAAAATTTGATGTTTATCTGCTTACCCCCAGGGCATCCAAGATGTAGGTGACTTTGTTTCTGCAGTAGAACACATATGATGATTTTTAACTTTAACCGTTGCAGTCTATCAGTCGTATAATGCATGGCAATGGTAACAAAATCTATGAGAGTAAAAAAAAACATGCACAAATCCAAAATAAACCCTGCGGCTCGTGACGACACATTGATGTCCTAAGACACGAAACGATCGGTTTGTGCCAGAAACCAAACAGTATTTATATAATTTTTTACCTCTAATACACCACTATGTCCAACTGTCTTTGGGCGCGCGCACAGCATCCGGTGCGTGAGGTGTGTACGCGCTCTGGCGTAGTCTACGCAAGCGCCGGTAGTGATCTCTCATGCGTATACGTCACTCATTGTTTACACAGTGCACAAACATTGTAGGTACGACGGCTAATCAAAATGGTACTTACTTGCGCTTATC